ATACTATGCCAATCCGAAGCCAGGAGCCTCTTCCGGGTCTCCCACGCGGATGCAGGTTCCCAAAGCTTTGGGCTGTCCCCGACTGCTTTCCCGGGCCACAGGCAGGGAGCTGGAAGGGAAGCGTGGCTGCAGGGATTAGAAGCGGCGCCCATATGGGATCCCGGGCGTGCAAGGCGAGGACCTTTAACCACTTGCGCCACCGCGCCGGGCCCAGTATTGTTTTTTTTTGTTTGCTTGCTTCTGTGTTTGCTTTTACTTGAAAGTCAGAGTTACAGAGAGACGGAGAGAGAGAGAGAGAAAATTGTTCTACTAAATGGCTTACCACCCAGACAACCTCGCTGGCAAGCCTGAGCCAGGCCAAAGCCAGGAACTTTATCCAGGGCTCCCACACGGGTAGCAGTGACCCAAACACTTGGACCATCTTCCACGGCCTGTCCCAGGCCATCAGCATGGAACTGAATAGGAAGTGGGATAACCATACCTGGAACTGGTACCCATACGTGTGCTAGTGCCACAGGCAGCAGCTTTACCCACTATGCCACAATGCCAACCCCATATTTCTTGACAAGAAAAAAGGACATAGCTCTGCTGAAGTAAATCAGAGAAGAGGCAACAGAAGATGGGATTAAATTGTGCAGAGTATATAAACAGTGCAAGAATGTGAGGATAATGGATTGTTCGTCCTCTGATCTACAAGGGAAAGTCATTCGCTCAGGACAGACATGTGATACATTTCAGACCTTTGATGATCTTAAAGGTTGAAAGCATACAATGAACAAAGCAGCATCTACAACAATTGGACAAGTGATCCGGGGTTCAGTTCAGAATGAAGATCAACAATTTTTAGTGATACTGCCAAGTTCACTCATTTTCCAATGTCATCCACCTGTTCAATAGAGGTTATCCAGGGTAGAAATTTATCAGGCTGTGATGACAAAATACAAAGCAAAGTCTCATGTTCATGCAGGAGCATGTAACATTGAACAATAGGTCCTTGCTGATAAGAAGGGAGGAGATGAATTACATAAAGAAAAATTCAATATATTACACCTCTAAAGGGTACTCTTACAGTACCAACTTCTGAGCAAATACAGCAGAAAGCTAAAAGTTATAAGATGAAATGTCAGAATTCCTTTTTGAGATTTTTTTTTTTTTTTTGGTGGTAAGACCTGGGCTGTGACTGTAATCATGGACAAAGTGTTAGCTTTTTGCATCTTACTGATTATTTCATTTCGTCAACACCCACTGATACTGTCTGTAAATTTGCCCATCTAATGCATTCATGTTCAATCCTTGGCTAAAGGCAGCACATCTGAATATTCTATCAACCCCTCCAGATATGCTACAAAGGCAGACAGCATCAAGGCCATATCACACAGCAAGCTCTTCACACTCCAGTCCTGTGATCTCTCAGTTTAACTTCTACTGCACACTGGTAGGTCATGGTACCGATTTGTTTTCAAGTATTCTCTTCTCATTCACATTACAAGCTTTGCAAAAAAAAAAAGACTAGGACACTACTTTTTTTTAAAGAAAACACTCAACACCCACTTTTCTCAAACCATAGTATTAGGTGCTATGCTTATTTTCTACGCTTTAAGATCATAAATACTAAACCTTAAAGCTTATTTTCTAGGCTCTAAGATTTAGTACCAAGGTAGGTATATAAAAGGATTTAACAAATAACCTCATGGATGACAAATAAGTCTAAAAACAAAACTATATATATATATATTTAGACTTATATATGTATTATTATTTATTTATTTAGACATATATATATATATATATATATATATAACTGATCAAAGAAACCACCCACAGAAGTCTCTGGAGCTAAGGGAAATGCTAAGGGTATCCCAGGAAATCAGTGTGCCTTGGCCACATCTAACAAGAGAAAGAAATTCAGAACAATACCTACAAGTTTCGCTTCTGTGGAAGACAATTTTATGATTTCTCAGACAGGTCTCAATGCATCACCCAGCTGTCCCTCCGCGTGTGGTGAAGGACTGGTCCTGGGAGCCCCACGGAGAGCACAATTTGCAGGTGCTCAAGTCCTCTCTGGCACGGTGATACTGGCAGAGAACCTATGCCCACCCTTCCTCGCACATTAATGCTCTTTTAGGGAATTATAAGAAGGAAAAAGAAGTCTGTACAGGTTTAAGACAGACATAATTTTTCTTTTCAAAAATTAATCCACGGCTGGCAAGATTCAAAAACAGAGACGCTGCAGACACAAAGAGCCATACTGTACTCAGAAACGAAGAACACTGAGATCTTTTTCTGTCTCAATCTACCTTACTACATTCAGCTCACATCAAAAGGCAATACAGCAAGTATTACTGCTGGGATCCGTGCAGTAGGTGTGGATTGCATGAAGGTGTGAAGAGAACAGCTTCCCTGCTTGGCAGGGCCTGGGGGAGCTTCCAGCTGTGTGGCCGGGCCCAGCGGATTTCTCTATGACCACCTTGACGTGGTCTCACCCCCATTTGCATGGACACTCAACCACCCCACTAAGAATTCTGTAATCTATTGAGGCATTGTTGCTTGCTCCCATGAGATGACTTTGGCAACCAATGTGAGCTTGAGAGTTAATGTCACTGATAATGTCTTGGTGAGTGGGCCTTTGACAATTTACATGCAGGAGCACAATTAAGCCTGTGCCATTTCTGGACACCTTATTGGGTACTTAACCATTGCCTCAGAATCTGGCCCAGACATGTAGCACACCTTCTGGGAAAGGGCTTGATAAATATCCTAAATATTAAGGTAAGTGATGGGAGTGAGGGCTGAAACTGCTATGGCAAAAATATAGTTACTGTGACCTTAAAGGTTAGCCTGTCCTTGCAACTCTTTAGAGCATAGAAAATGGAGCTGTTTTAGCCACTTTCATAATTTTTTAACTAGAGGAAATATAGGGTGATTCTATTAAAATCATAGAGATATACTTTTGATTATTGTTTGATTGTTTATGAGGTTATAGAGCCTGCAGTTATAGGGGGATTTAATGTTTGAAACTTTTTGTCTTAGATCCTTATGTTTTTTTCTCTTTTGTTTTTTCTCTTATCCCATTAAGTGATAGATAAAGTTGTGAAAATAAAAATGTAGTAGGAATGTTTTACTGATTAGTAGGTAACCATCTGTGCCTTGGCCTTGGAGTTCTGGCTGTCACCTAATGGCTACTTCTGAAGAATGAATAATGGCTTGCTTTAAAGAAACTGATTATAGTAACTTACAGAATTATCTTTAAGAGCACCTAGTTGACCATGAAGTAAAAATTAATTGAACATCTGTGCATGCTGTCTTAATTCTAAAGTTAAAGATAAAAAATCAAAAGTTTGTGCAGAGACTTGTGATGTGTCTAAGTAAATAAAAAGGACAGCTTCTTCTTGAGCAAAAAGGCAGCAAGAAGGCACCAAGTAACAGTGTCTGTGTCTTTATCGCTGACTCCACGCACCCTTTCCGAGCTCCGAACTCAGCTGGAGCTGGACTCCAGCATATTACTAGAAATTGTAATTTCTTTCAGGCAAAGATCATTTCAGGTGATCCCAAGTTAGCCTAAAACAACAAAATGAACAACAAATGGGGCCAGCGTGATAGCTCAGTGGCTGAATCCCTGCATTGTATGCACAGGGGATCCCACAGGAGTGCTGGTTCGTGTCCTGGCTGCTCCACTCCCCATCCAGCTCCCTGCCTTGTGGCCTGTGAAGGCACTGGAGGATAGTCCAAGGTCTTGGGACCCTGCACCTGCCTGGGAGGCTTGGGGCCACTTGGGAAGTGAAACAGTGGAAGTTCTTTCTATATCTCCTTCTCTCTGTAAATCTGCCTTTCAATAAAAATAAATCTTTAAAGCAAGTAAAAGACAATAAACACTCAGTGAAATCTATTTCAAAAGAAAAAAAGTAAAAGGGACCTTAACAGTCATAGGTTTTCAAGGTCTAAGTAACTTCACAGTCTTAAAACAATCTAGGTAGGCATAGCTCTACCAAGCAGTAAAAATACTTGCCTGATGATTAAAAAAATTAAGGAAATAACTTTTAGGCCCTTTCTAAACATTAAAAAAAAAATGCTTACTTGCCTTCCTGTGGAGAGTTACAAGTATACAAACAATATAGTATTTATGGCAACTTTCTCACATGGTTATTAACTAGGAACACTTAGCAACTTGAGATAAACCTTACCTAAATAAAATGTTTAGTACAGCACGTTACTGTTCCTTACATAGCAAATTTAACACATACCTACAAATGCAAGGTTGCATGCACGTAAATATAAAACATTAACATGCAGCAAAACCGTTGGTTATTAGTAATATTAACAAGCTATCTTTTACTGAACCAGCCTTATTATAACAGCATTATCGCCAACAGATTCTACAGACGGACGGCTGGACATAACACAGTAAAGCAATCCCTTCAAGGCTGTATCGCTAAGGAAATCTTAAAATGGAAATTGGTTTGTCTGACTTTACCAAACTTGAGACAATTTCTTAGTACTCAAGAGCTTCACATAGATGACATCATGAGCTCTAACTCTGGAGTCAAACTTTCTCTGTAAACACACAGATAGCAAATATTTCAGGCATTGTGAGCCACAGGCTCTGGCAAATTACTCCACTTGACAATTACAATGCAAAAGCGGCTCCAAAACAGCATGGCTGCATTCCAATAAAATTCTATTCAACTAGGCAAAATGCAGCTCTCCCACACTCTCCACGTGTCACAAAGTATCATGTTAGCATTTGTAAAGCAATCAAAAACATTAAACGCACTCTTAGGTCACAAGCTAGACAAAACAAAGAGATCTTACAAGACTCATGAGTCATAGTTTGGGGACTATCGCTTTAATATTAATATTAATAAATACCAGCAACATACTATAAATAAGCTATCATGTTTGCTATTACATAAACAGTATTTCTTAAGTAATGAGTTTCTAATATTTATGTCATGGACTGTCTCTGCAATTTACATATACATAAATATTTAGAATTACAGTACCTTTTCTCTGATGCCACTTTTAACTTGCTCATCTTGAGTTACTTCATTTCATCATTGCAGATAACCTAAAAAAAAAATTAATGACATTAAACACTTCCACAATTATGTTTTACTTTCAAGATGTCATTAAAGCCATGAAACTGAAAATTTTCAACTTGAGCAACACAAGAAGCCAACAATTTTAAGGGCTTCCGATGCTCACCCACAAGATATACACACAGCCATATAACTTAACATATGACTATTAGAATAGCTAAAATCAGCCAGGAGAATATTATCAAAACCTTGGCACTACAAAAAAAAAAAAAAAACCACAGAAACCTAACAAAGCATCTGTGACCAACCGTTAAGATTTTTTTTTAATTTATTCATTTTTACTGGAAAGGCAAATATAAAGAGAGAAGAGATACAGAAAGACCATCCATCCACTGGTTCACTCCCCAAATGGCTGTAACAACCAGAACTGAACTGATCCGAAACCAGGAGCCAGGAGCTTCTTCTGAGTCTCCTACACAGGTGCAGGGTCCCAAGGCTTTGGGCTGTCCTCAACTGCTTTCCCAGGCCACAGGCAGGGAGCTGGATGGAAACTGGAGCAGCTGGGACACAAACTCACACCCATGTGGAATCACAGTAAATGCAAGGCAAGGATTTAGGCACTAGTCTATTATGCAGGGCTCTGTTAAGATTTCTTTTAAGACAATTCAAACCATCCTTACTATTCTACTTCTCTACCATAAAATACCCAAACTAACCAAAACATCCTGTGATTAACGCACTCATTATTCACCATCCACATAACAGCCAAACATTGGCTATTTAATATGCATTAATAATTCTGTATGAGAACACTTAATTAGTAATAAATTGCTTAGAATAAAAACAGCTACAGCATTATCTTACCTAATTTACATAATGCACATCTTTCCCCCAGCTGTAATCAACTACCTAGGTTGTATTACCTAGACATGTCTTACACTCTAATAGCTGCCAGGCATCCTGGGGCTGCCTATGCCAACTCTGTATTAATAATACCAGTGTGCCAGCATAGATACCTAGTCTATACTTTTTTTAAGATATGTTGCGGACAGAGACTGGCACACTGGTAGACAGGGTCTGGGGACCCATGCTTGAGCATGTGTGGGCCCTGGACAGGCAAGCAGGGTCCCAAGCTGCCATGGTACATTGCCAGGACACCAGGCTTAGGGAATCTACACACTTGTGGGTACTGGGGGCTGTGCATTCCTCAGGGAAGCGGGTCTGGGAGAAACGCTAAACAAGAATGTGTCAGGTGAAGAGTGACTTCTGAGGGACTTTTACCAAGCAGGCTACTATACTTGCAGGTAAATGAGCATGCTGAAATTGGTGGTTTAGAGGAGGGCAACCAGAGGACCTTTCAGGGCCAAACCAACACACCCACCCACTTGGGAGACCTGAGCTGGGCTAGTTAGCATTGACTACCATCCACAAGTGCACATGAAAGCCATGGCTGGAGGGCCTGCTTGGCAAGTGAGTGTTGGGACGGGGGATGGGCCAGGCCAGGTCAAGCTACAGCATCCGATGGCAAAGGTGATGGCTTATGCAGGGCTGGGTCAGAGTAACTACTCAATATGCAAGATCTGTAGCTGGCCGTGGTCCTGGTCAGGGAGCTAAGGAGATGTCTCAATTAGGTTGTGGTTCCTACTGGTGAGCGGAAGAGCTGGAATGGGGGTGGAGAACTGAGCTGGCTATGGCTGCAGCATCCCTCGAAATTGGTGTGGACTGGGTCTGGGGTGTGCCAAACTGAGCCAGCTCCAGCACCCACTAGTGCTCACAAAAGCCAAGGCAGATGTTGAAAAGTTGGGCTAGGTCTCGGTACCCACTGAATCAAGTAAGGGCTAGGTCAGGATGTGGATGTGGGATAGACAAGGCTAGGCTAGGACACCCAACAGTAAGAGCTGGAATAGGTGTGGGCTGCCCAGGCAAGGCAGCTTTATCTGCCAGGAGAGGAGGTGGGCCAAGTCAGGCTGGGCCAAGGACCTATTGGTATGTATGAGATTTGCCAATGGGAGGTGACCTGATAAAGAACTCTGGGAAACTCATCTGTTCGGACACAGTCCCTGCATGTGAGTGGAAGAATCAAGACAGGGAACAGCCCAGACGAGGTTACAGTACCTGCCTACAGTACAGCCACAATACACATGGCTCAGGCCTGAGTGTGGGCCAAACTAGGCCAGCACATAACACCCACTGACAGATTTGAGAATCAGGACAGGGTGCAGGAAAGGCTGGATTGGGTCACAACTCCAGCCAGTTCACATTAAGGCTGGATTATCCAAACTTGGCTGCTGCACACCCCCCTTAATGAGGTGGAAATGGAGGCAGACCAAGCCTAGCGAGGCTACAGTACCCACCAGTGAATGCTAAGGTGAGGTGAGACATTTCAGACTGGACCTCAGCATCTGCCAGCACACAACAGACCTGGGGGGTGGGGCGAGGGCAGCAGAGGTGTGAGCCTGATAGAGGGGCTGTGAAGACTCTTCTACTGGGAAAATGCTCCTGCTGGTGAGTATGAGAGCTAGGACTGGGGGCAGACCAGGATGGGCAAGCTACAAAACCCATCGGACTGCATGTGAACTGTGTTAGGGGGAGAGCCAGGTTGAGTTAAACAACCATAACCACTATGCATGCATGAGCCAGAGTTAAATACAGGCTGGTTGGGTTTTGCCACAACATCAGGTAGCACATGCTGGGACTGGGGACAAGTCCCGTCAGGACTTCTAGAAAGTACAAATCCCAGGGCTGGGAGTGGACTTAGTAGAGAAATTGTGGGCACCCCTCTGATGGGATATAGCTCCCACTGGTGAGCATGAGAACCAGGGCTGAGGGTGGGCATAGATGGACAGGCAATGGTACTTGCTGCCATGAGTGCAGGATGGATAGTGGGATTGGTCAGGCTGAACTAGGCTTCAACACCCTTTGATGTATAAAAGCCTAATGAGATTCAAGACAGACTGGATCAGTCTGCTATACATACAGTTATGCACAGGAATGGATGCTATGGGCGTACCTGGTGGAGTTATTGGAGACCACTCAGATCAGGCTGCAGTTCCTATTGCTGTGTGTGAGGGCTGAGTGTGTGGTGGGCAGGGATGGGCTGGATTGCAGCATCCATTGGTTTGCGTAGGAGATAGACCTGGGACAGAACTGGCCAGGTGCCTTCAAGCACCTGTGTGTGTGTAGGCTAATACAAGTGACGGGCTGAGCCTGCTGCACATACTATCATGCACAGGAACTGGGGATGGTGGCAGGCCTGATGTGGGTTACTCTAATAGGGCTGTTAGTTGGACTCCAACTAGGAGGTTGCTTTAACTAGAATGCTGCGAGTAAAGGCCAAGTGTGTGGTGGGCAGAGATGGGCTGGACCACAGCATTCATTGATTTGCATATGAGATGCAAATGGGGACAGATCTGATTAGGTGACTGTTAGCACTCATGTGTGGTCAGGGTCATCTCCGGTGAGGTTTCTTTGGGGACCACCCTGAGTTAGATCACTGCACTCAGAATTCCAACCATGGGGAAAATCACAGGATCTGTGATCTGATTGTGGAGTGCGTATGTCAGAACTGCCTCTCCTTAGTTGTTCAAGTCTGTGAACAGCTTGCCCAGATGCATCTGGGGGACATGACAAACAGTTCATTGAGGTCTGCAGAGGATGTCCAGTACCATGAAGGGCAGAATGAACTGGACAACTCTCCTGAACAAGCTTCAACAGTGAGAATCTGGGTGTGTGGAGACACTAAGGTACACTATTTCAGCCAATGGACTTTAGAAGGATTTCTTTAATCTTGGAGCAACAAAATCAAGAGCATTTCAGAACCATCGAAACCACTTAAGCAGTACCTTTGGAACATGCTCCACATCAGGACCCTGGGATGATATCAGGAAGCCTTCCCCATCCCAGCTACTGATGTGGTTGGGCTGTTGCAAGCCACCCTCTCCCTTCTCCTCCCACCTTCCCCAGATACAGGAAGAAAAAAGGAGACTGGAGGCGGTTGTCTCATCCACTTTCCCCCATTCCTCAACCCTTCCAAGCCTAACTGGTAGTCCACATGGAAAGGCATCCTTCTCAACATCATGAAAAATAAAATAAATTTATTATTTTTAAAATGCACCTTTTCCTTCCACCAGTTTTCATTTTTAGAACGTACTCATTATACCCTTCAAACTACTCTAAGTACTGAGTCACTCAATTCTTACAATTCTTCAAATTTATTTTATATTCACCCCAAAATACCTTGAATGTCCTAATTTTATATTCCAATGCTTAGAGGCAGACTTCTGTGACATCTCTGCAAAATGAGACAATTACTGTAAATTCAACAAGTTGATCAACACACTGATATTGTATTTAGAAGTGCTATATTTAAACCAAAATAAGCACACAAAGGAGCAGACTTGAAATGGTTTAACTTAAATTTAGAATATAGACGTTTTGAGTCAGGATGGTCGTGCAGCAGGCTAACTGCCCACTGTGTGGCACCAACAGACCCTATTCATGTCCCAGCTGCTCCACTTCTGATCTAGTGCCTTGCTCATGGCTTCGGAAGGCAGTCGAGGATGGTTTACCTCCTTGAGACCCTGCATCCACATGGGACACCCAGAATTTCCTGGCTCCCAACTTCAGATCAGCTCAGTTCTGGCCTTTCTGCCCATTTGGGGAGTGAATCAGCAGGTGGAAGACCTTCTCTTTCTATCCTTATCTGTAAAGTCTGCCTTTCAAATATGAATAAACCTTCCTTAAAAAATAAGAATATAGAGTTCTATATCTGGACTTTTTTCTCAATTACAATTATTCAACAAAAACTTGAAAGCAAAGGAAAGAAGTATTTAGGACTATGAACAAAAATTAAGATTTTTTAAAGTGGATGATAAATTGCAAATTGCTACTTTTTTTTTAATAGACCTATTTCATTATGATGATTCTTATTGGAAAGGCAGATAAACAGAGAAAAGGAGAAACAGAGAGAAAATCTTCCATCCATTAGTTCACTCCCCAAAGTGGCTGCAATGGCCGGGGCTGAGCCGAT